TATGTAAATTTTGAAAATTTAAGAATATTTTCAGCTTTTCCAGTAAAGTTTAGAAGTTTTTTTTTAAAAAAAAAAAGAAGAAAATTTCATAAATTTTAAAACAGAAACTTTTCAAGTTTGGAAGGTCGAGAGAGAGAGAGAGAGAGAAAGATTTTTCTTTAGTCATAAATCAGAAAGTAAAAGATTTTTAGCTCTTACAGAATATGGAATTTTATAAAAGAATATTTTCAGATTCTGTAAATTCATATAGAATTATTTAAATATAAATTCATAAAATGGAAAAATATTTCAGACTTCCTCCCCTGAATTTCTCAATTAAATCTGAAAATCATTAAACAAAATGTTATTTAAATTTAAATAAATTTGCAATTATTAATTAGTTTGTGTGAAGCATTTTTTTAAGCTTCAAATAATCGAAAATCTGATGATTTTGATTAAAAACTTATGTTTTTTTTAATAGAAAAAAGGTAAATTTCTTGTAAAGATGATAGTTTTTCTGTAAAAGACCTAATTTTTTTTAATAAAAAATTATGTAAATAATTTCTTAGGTTTATTTTCTACTATATAACAATTTTAGCTTCAAACTCTGACAATTTTCACACAAAAATGCGGATTTTTTTAAATTAAAAAGGTGCAGATTTTTAAAACATTTAAAAATTAGACAAAAAAAAAATACAATTAAAAAACAATCGTTTATAAAAATTTAACAACTCGTCCTATACAAAATTGGCTTGTATCACGAATAACAACAACGTCAGTACGAATTTAACGCTGAAAATTAATATAATATCGATATTAATATACGTATAACATTTGTATGCCCGGTGATTACTAGTTTCGCCTGACATTTACGATCTATGGAGTTAAGAGATATTATTATAATCATAACTAAATGCAGAGGTTATAAATTACCCTTTAACATATGGATTTATTCATAAGTTATATAAGCTACAGTGTAGGGCCTCAAGTTAAGTGAGGCCTCGTTCTATTCCCGGAGACGGTTTATGAGTATTGCCCATTAGTAAAGGGGAAGGGCCTCTCGTATGTTGCATAGAGATTAGTTTAAATCCGGGTCCGTAACCGATACAATAATAAACCCCCCCTTTCCATTCGTAAGAGCAGCGTAACAAAGAACATATTTAAACTATTTTTAATTAAAATAATACATCATAATTTATCAAAATTACTTATAAAAGCGGTTGTTTTTAATTAATATAGGATAATTATAACCTTTTTTCTATCTCTCTCTCTGTTTGTGTTTGGAACGGGATGCGGTTAAAGAATGGCTTGTTACGTCTACACATAGCATCATTTACAAGTTTTAATGAAGGAAACGGTCACGATAAACAATGAGTTGTTTACTAAATAGAACATGAAGAAAGATTTTTTCGTGATTTGAATGTTATCAACGATGAAAAAACACTTAACAGGGCGATCTTTTCAACGATTCGTGAATACCCAATTGCTGTATTCGTCCTTCAATAAATTCAATGAGTGCAATTATTGTTTTAAAAATAACATTAATGTTGTAGCCATCTTCTTTGATTTAATTACATACAGAAACGTTTAAAGTAATCTAGAGCATCAACTTTATTTTACTTTGTTCAAAAAATATTTTCTAATTAAGACGAAGAGGAGGAGGAAGAGGGGAGAAGAAGTAGTAGAGTAGAGTACATCTCAAGAGGAGGAATTCAGCAGATCGCAGCATTAAGAAGAGAAGAAAACAAGGAAAAAAGATGGTTAAAAAACATAAAAAATGGCAGATCACGGAGCGTCATTATCTCACATTCTAGTATAAGCTCTTAAAACTACTACCTCCCTTGAGAACTGTACGAATTGAAGATTATACTGTGAATAGAATTGAATAGAGTCTATTACATGCAAGCTATTAAATTTTGGAAGGGGAAAAAAAGCATAGAAGAAGAAGAAAAAGGGGAGAGAGATTTGCGTTTTTTGGGGGGTCGCTCACGTATACTAAAGTAATTGAATTTAAAGTTAACCGAAAAACTTAAAGCGGGGGGAGGAGTAAAATTAGGCAATAGTCACGCTAGGCGCTGGGAAATAGGCCTAATTATTGGAACTTGCAAAAGGTCGTTGGGAGCTGCAGCCATCCCCTCTTGTGTGTTTAGAGCACGCATCACGTTTACTCAATAATTTACTACCTGATACAACTATTTACATAGCGTACATTGACAGTAGAGCGGCGAAAAAATATTAATAGTTCGTCGCCCATCCGCTTAGATATGTGGGAGGATTGCGCTACCATTGCATATTTTACTACGGGCCGCTTGCAACAACAGTAAATAACAGTAACCATTAGGACGTCCCGGGTTCGTTAGATACGCATAATTCATGCAGTTATCATGTGGAAGAACGATCTTTATGCGACGAACTTGGGATTTAACCGAGCGTACTTGGTCACGAATGGGATAAAGAAGAAAAGAGGACATACGCGACGATGTCGTCGACCCTCCTATGATCGCGTCAATAATCTGTGTTCCCGTGTAAACCGTCGTGACATATAGCAGTTATTTTCTGCGGAAATATGGATGAATCCCGTGATAGGCGATGATAGCATTATGTGCAGTTTCAATAGGAACAAGAGAAGTAAAAAAATATATATTACTTAAAAATGGGTTCGAGTGACGATTTCGCTCTTTCAATGGTTATGGGAATTGTTGGATGTTCCAAAAACTAGGCTAATGATGACGTTTAGCATCTTAACTACTTCCTTAATAATTAAATTCCTAGTTTTGTTACGCTTATCCACCGTCGAGAATCTTTATAAACAGGTTAGGATGAGATAGAAAGAATGTTTCCATGGAGACGACGGATCCTGGAGATGATTCTCTTCCTCTCTAAAACCGACATATTACGTATTCTTCTATAAAATTTACTATAGTATTATTTTAAATGATATTTTTTAATAAACTTTCGACATGTGTTAAGTTAAAGCGTAACGAATTTGATTAATTAAAATAATGTAATCAATATTAATATCCGGATATCCTGTCGGGATGTAATTCTCGGTTAATTATTCTAAGAAAGCCTTAAGGCTAAGCTAATTAATTTTGTTTCCTAAGGCTAATATTTTTCACAAATACGTTAAATATAAGCCAGACAAAGAAAGAAAGAAATTCCTCAGAAATAATCAGTCTCCGAAATTTGGCTAAAGTTCAGCTAAATTCCCAGTCATAGTTGCTATTTAATAACATAAAAATAGCATCTAAGATGATGTTAACTTGGCATTAATAATAATTTTTAATCAAATTTAATAAAATAATTTGTATATATTTAGAATTAAACACGTAAAAATCCGATTTTCTCTCTCTTTAATTTTGTAAATTTTAAGCATTTTTTGCTCGAAATTTCATACTTAAAAGTTTAAAACATTATAAAATTTTATATATTTTTATTATTTCATTTATAATTTAATTAAATTTATTTAAATTTTTACTCGAATTAAGCGATTTCACGATCATCTTTCGAATAAAGAAATTGTTTTTTTTTTTAAAATAACTTAACTCCAAAATTAAATTAAAATGTAAAATATAACAAAATTATATAATTAAAATTCATTATATACATTCAAAAATAATTAAAATCATTAATTTCTTTTAATTATAAAGCATTTTGTCAATCCATTTTCTAGGGCGAGATATTCATTTCCGAATTGAATACATTAAAAATTGTTATTATCCACCCAAAATTATGTATTTTTCTCTCGTGTTTTATTATTAATATCGCTTTTAATTAAACTTATTAAAATTTCTATAACGTTTTTGTAACCGGCACAGAAGCCCAAGAGCCTTTATCGCCTTAGGAAAAGTCCACAGATGGGATCCAATATAACCTACAACAGATGGCATACGTGCTATGATATCATAGAAAGCTTATGATATCTCTAAATATAGTCGCATCTTATACGCTCCAGGTAGAAAAATAATTAAATTTACGCTTAATTTTCCAATAAACACGACTTTTATAAGGTTTAATATTGATTTTTAATGAAACTTTTGATTTAAAAGTGTCGATAATTTAATAAATAAACAACATACAAAGCATATATGCAGAAGAAACATTTACTTATTATTATTATCAATTTTTTTTTCTTTTTTTTTAAACAAACAAACAGAAAAATACCCCAATAATTTAAATATACAAATGAGGTAAAGTGTGTTTTTTTCATATTTCCGACCGAAAAAAATGGTCCAAGTCAATGGAAACTACACACATGATAAGTGGAAACTTCGTTAAATTCTATACGAATTAACAATGATTAAAAGAAAGAATAAGAAAGAAAAAAATAAACCGTTACAACCTTCGTGTGGTAATTTTTTTTAAACAGTAAATATTAACGATTTGATTTGTTTCTTTTATAATAATGAATCAGCATTAAATGCTATATTATAAATAAAACATACCACGTGTGGAAATACGGTACGAAAACACACACATATCGAGTCAGAATTTAAACTCCCAAAATAATTTGGGGCGTATACATGTCAGATTTGTGGATGAAACACACTATTTTCAGATCCGAGAATAAAAATCACAGTTAAACGAACGTCCAATTTGTTCTTATAAACTGTAAACCACGTGTCCTTTATTATTTTGTACATTCACAACTGTCACCCCCCTCTCGAGAGCGGATCTGAGAGGCTCCCAAACTGTTCCTATGCCACGATGGTGCATTGCAGGTGCTCTTCTTCTCCTTTATTTTTCTTGTTTCTTCCTCCTCTGTGACGTGTTGGGTGGTGCAGATTGCCCTATACACGGTTTTGGGGGGTGTGCACAGTTACACTTTCGGTGTTGGCGCGTTTTCCATTGTTGCACAATCCACGGATTCTAAACTGGATTTGGATGCTGCGGATGCCTGAAGTAGGCGAGGATGAAAGTAGGGATGGTATTTGACACCCGGATATAACTGGAATCGAGAAGAGTAGGGTGTATTAGGTAGACACATACCACCGTTACTACCCGATGCCGGTACTATCGACGGACCGCTGAGGTTTCGAGAAGTTAATTGAGGTTCGCTGGTCGAGGTGGAGGTTGTGGGAGTGCAGGAGGTGGTGTTACTTCCCGCCACGGAGAATTGGGGGAAAAGTGTCCTGGGTAGTCCGAAGTACAAGCCTGCGAAACTGGCCACCGCTTGTTGGTGACTGACCATGAGTGAAGAAATTTCGGCTACACTTAGAGGCACCGAAGGGAACTTCCAAGGTGTTCCCGCATTGGCTTGGCCCGCCATTAAGAGGAGATCGTTGTGTAGAGGAACACCTCCTAAGGCTAGAAAGAGAGAAAGATTCGTTTAATCTTCTTAAATATATAAATCTAAGTATCTTCAATGCTTAAAAACTGTTAAAAGCATATCGATCATTGTCGTTTCTAAAGAGAGATAGGATTACCAGATAAAACGTTTCAGCTACCTTCTTTTTTTTTAAAAAAATTAAACCCCGGGGAGTACTAAAAAATAAATCTTATAAATTTTCGTTCGAAAAATAACAAAAATTTCATTAAATTAACGAAGAAAATTTTGAATTTTGTAAGTATTTAATCAATTTAAATCATGTTCAAGAATAAAATTAAGTAAATCCCTTTAAAAAATTACACTTTTCCTTAACAGAAATGACATCTTTTACAAATTTTAAATCGGTATTCGGGAACCAAACTGATAGATTATTATCGATTTAAGTTTATTATAAACCTTATAAAACAGTTAATATTAGGCTATATAATCTAGAAATTTATCTCATAATCTATTTAATATATTTACATAAATAAATCAAAATATCAGTTTGTAGAAGTAAACGAATGCCTAAAATAGGGCTAGAATTTACGATAAATTTATCTTTCTTCAAATCGAACTTTGTTCCTAGATAAATGACGTTACTGGGAAGCAAAATACAATTTAATATTCTTAAAATTAATTTCGAGAACTCAATCCTTATGAAAACACTCGAAAGGGTGTTTCTATTGAAGGTGTTTCTACACTATCTATATCGACTCTTTATTAAGATATAAGTATCAATATAATCTATGTATTGAGTAGTATTTTTATATTTAAAGTTTTTAAATAACCTATAAGAATTGTAGAGAACTTTATAAATTTAAAATTAATTTACTGTTTAAATATCACTAGAGAAATGAGTTAAAAGAATAAATTTTCTGTATAAACTGACTAATCCTAATTTATGATAATTCGATAAATAATTGTATAAAAGTTTCTCGTACTTAATTTTATAGAATTCATGCTGATAAATTGCATAATTATATTTTATTGCACTTACAAACTTCAGCATTTATGAGGGTAGACAATCCACTAAAAACGATTCGAGAGTTTCCAATCTCGAATGTGGCTTTTTGGTTCAAAAATGCAATTAATTATTCAAATTAAGCATTCAAGTAAGGTTTTTATTTATCATAAAAAAGCACTTTAATGAATATGGTATTAAATTTAATGTAAATTAAAACCACTTAAAGACATAGAAAGAGGCTTTCCTCGACGACATCTCCAGAAGATCTTCCATTAAAAGCCATGTCTAAAAACTTGGCAATGTAATTAGAAGAATGATTATGTAACCTATTTTTCACCCACCCCACCAAAAAAGCTTTAGGAAAGAAAAAAAAATTCAATTTAGAGTCGTTTTAATATTTCGTTCGCATTAGATACGCCTTGGCTCTTAATGACTTAAAAGATCTTCGAGTTCATCCCGAGTGGATCATTAATGAGACGATGCAGACAAAAAGCGAATGAAAAGCTTCATTAAAAAAAATAATAATAAGAAGAAGTTTTAGTTTGGTGGAGGGAAGGGGAGTCCCACCGCCTGGTAACCTCAAATTAGATGCACCAATCGTGGTACAAGGCAAGAGTGGGGGAGAGAAAAGGTGTGGATTAAAAGGTAGCTTCTTTTGGACTTAATCGTTGCGGGTGGTCATACGGTTTCAAAAAATGGCACCACTTTGCCAAATTAAAATACTATGGCACCCACCTGCGGCCCCTGCAATGGCTTGTTGATCTGTGGTGACGTCTCCGGTCATCAGGGTTCGGAACGGTAAATAGCGATATGTATGCTCTCGTAGAAGTGCTTCTACGGATTCTCTAGAGAAAGATAAAAATCCTGTTTTAAGTCACACAATTTTATACAATTTTTGTAAACAATAATGTAACTTTAATAAGAAACAAGTGTGGTAAAGGGAACATTGTACGATAATGCGATATCAACAAAGGTGATTATGATGAAGCTCATTAAAATCTACTAAAATTAGCATGAAATCTTATTATTTTTTATTAAATAGGCGTATAAATTGAAGGAAATTTATCCTTTTCACATTATAAAGTAATGGTGCGGGCCTTCCTGATCGTATGATAATATGAAAAGTAAAAAAATATGATATAATGATACGTTAAGTATTGTATGATAATCTAACAATACAGGAAAGGCATTGTATGATAAATTATAGTACGTAAGTAAGATATTGCGTAACAAAAGAAAGTTATACTGCGTTAACATGGAAGAACATTAAGATTCTGTGATGGTGTGCCTTTGTAGAGTTTTATTTTTCAGCGAGGATGGTGCAATTTCTTGCAGTGTTTGTTGAAATTGTCACGAGTGCACTCTTGTCGACACACGACTCCTACATCACCTGGAGAGAGACAGGCTGGGAGAAATACAATATGGAAAATATGACGGATGAAGGCTCAACACCGAGTCACGCTACGCTTTGGTCACGTGCGTGACCCACGTGACAGATGTAAGCCGACTGTGACGTCACGGGAATTTCCATTTAGATAGAGTAGTTTTCGGGGAGTCCAGGCCCGCAGAGGAGAGATGTAAAGAGAAAGAAAAGCAGTCATAAACTCTCCTTTGTTCCCTTTCTTTGTCCTAACTCGGCAACAGTTTGATGACGTTTCATGATAAATTTGATATCCATATAAGTGTAATTTACATAACTAACCATATTTGAAGCGAGGACAAATGCACCGACTTTACAAATCTGACTGTCAAAGTAATTCGTGGCTGTTGACACAGAAATGTCACAAATTCTCACACTTTATAATGTGATTCAGAGGTAAATACTCTTGAAAATTGTCTAAAAATAAGCATTATTTTCCGACAAATGCTTCGCACCGTCTATCATTGTCAAAAAAAGAATATAAAGCTTAAAAAAATTGATTTACGCTTGAAAAAACATCAACACAAAGAATATAGATTAAGTTACAAAATTCACAAAATGAAGTTCCTGTTTTGTTTAGAGATTCCTATACGTTCAATTTTTAAAAAATTTTACCTCATTCTAAGATATAAAATCGATTTGAGGCTCGGATTTAGACTTGTTGAGGCCCTAAACTAAAATATATTTTGTTCGAGGCCCTTTCCTCTACCAAATATGAAGACGTAAAATGCGAGGCCCTGAATTCGGCCCGAGCTTAACAAATAAGTAAACACTTTGTGTAGATTCTGTGACGTTTATAATTAAAATTTAATAACTGTTAGAAGTAGAACTAAGTAACTAGACCTTGACTAAATAATGACGTTTGAAGCTGTCGAATGGGTGCCATCTTGGTTACTTAAACTTAGTTTAAAAGGTTGTAAAGACAGGTAGAGAAGGGCATTAGATATTCATAAACTTTATGGAATTAGAGAAGTATTTGCTTCGAAGACAGAGTAGGTATCATCCCGCAAACATCCTTTCTTTTGGTTAATTTCTTGCAATTGCACTAACCTTTAATTGCATTACATTGTGAGGGTAGGCGGAGGTTCGGTAGAAAAAAGACGTCATAAATCATTATTACGTATTCTAAGATAGAAAAGAAGTAGCGTTGGCATCCGTCTGTACGCCTGGTTGGGAGGGGGAGAGTTGTAAATCAGAGTCAATCAATGGTAGACACATAAAAGGCCATTAAGGACATTAGAGAAATGTTTGCCGCTACCCTCTAACAGAAAACGATTCAGACATTGCAACTTGGATTTTACTTTCTCCCAACGAGAAAATTTCCCGGGGTTAAGAGATTGGGGTTATTAGGATATTCTTGGTTTAGCGTCGTAAAATTGAATTTATGTTGCAAAGGACTCCAACTGTGCATGATTCTGTTTTGCAGCCTTCTTCTTTAGCTCGCACCTGGTCCACGGGGCATCCCTTTGCCTTTCCAATTTTGCTGATTATGGAAGATATCCAACCGAGTACCTATCGAATTTTTTTCCCTTTATTTTCGTGCACAGATTGGAATAATGGAGTCTCTCGCTGTTTAAGTAGAGTTGTTTGTGTGATAATTGCCTCCCCTCTCTCTCTTACGTGTATTATATGACGAATTGCAAATTTAGGTTTTAAAGTGTAGCGGATACCATAAAAATAATCCCTACTTGTTTAATCTTAGTTTACTACAGAAAGAGAAACGAGTATAAATTTTAATTCTGGCATCGTCTAGAAGGTAGAGAGTCGGACTCATACTAAATTTTATAAGTAAGATTTTGTTTAGGTTAATCCTAAACGTGACAGGTGAAAGGATCTAGAGTGATGCAAGCAGCCATTGTCCACGTAAAGGATATAACGAACTGTTGAAATCCCACAGGAAAAAGTAGTGTTCTACAGGAAGAAAACCTTAACAAACAATCTCGTCTTTATAGATTGGATGCGGCTACCAGCTGGGTCTCACGTTGCCCGCTTCCTGTCTTGCGACACTTACGACAAGAATGCACGACAGTGCACGGAAATGATGCTAATTGACCATTACTAGGTGTCAGTCCTGCTTTATTTACGACGTCATACACGATTCCGCCGGACAAACTAAGGGTGGAAAACAATAGCATGACGTCACCGGCACAATGACGCAAAGGTAGACTACGAAAATCCAAGTAAAAGCAATAACAATCTCTCTCTCTACTCTCCAATGCATCTGGTCTTAACGAGAGATGTTACTTCTGTGCATAAATTAAGCTTTGTGAATGAAGAATTTATTTCTTATTGTTGCCTGGCTCGATTTCGTTAAGGGAAAACAAAATGGCGTAAATTACTTTATTATAATCCAGGAATAAACACAAATATAGACGAGAAAAATATATAGAATTTCGGGTTATTATGCTACGTATCCAACAGGAACCGAACAATTGTTAATGCATTACTAGAAAGGAACGGAAACTTCATAGGCCGTCTACTGTATGTCTGTAAACATTAGTCTATAATCAAGTACGAATTCTGTAGTTTTTTATGTAAATAAAAAAGAAGAAAAAAGAAAATTTATACAGTATTTACATAAATTAACATAGTTAATATAGACTTAAATAACTTCTACATATTTAATATAGAATAAAATAAAAGGAAACACATTTCTTTAGCTATAACAAGTGACTAAACTGTAAAATCGCAACTTTAGACTATGTCAAAAGCCAGGATAATACTAAAAATTAATTACAGAATATTATATTTATATATTTATAATGATTTGTAGTCATAAAAGTAAATTTACAGCCGCTTACCTTTCGAGATCTGTAAGTCTGGAAGAATCACGGAATCCTTTAGCAAAAGGATTGCTATCGATCTTCAATTTAGTAATCTGTAAAATTGTTAATTTTAGCATTTTATGGGGCCATATATATCATTATCTACGTCCGAATGACTAAAAAATAAAAAAAATAAAAATAAATAAATAAAAATCATACACGAGTCTATCCACGAAGGAAAACTAGTTATTTATTCCTTGAAAAAATGTAATAAACGGGTGAATGTATGTCATTTCAAACTGCACAATTACGAAAATTTTCCGTCATAAATTATAGAAAATATTAAATTATCACAACGTTTCGCAACTTGGAACGTATTCTAACCTTGATAGTATATATTTTAAATAAATAGGCTGGTGTCAGAATAGATAAATGCCACAAAAAATTTTCTAGTAAAGGGTGTGACAGTGTTTAAAAGACGCTTCACCTTTAACGTGAATTGAAAAGGTTGGGGCGGTTCGTCCTCGGAAAAAAAAACACCAAAAAATGACATAAGAAGAGGCGACGTCTGCTTGATGGAAGCAAAGAACGTAATGAAAATTGATGGGAAAGTAAAAATAAGAAGTAAAATGTGTAGAGGAACCAACATCAAACGAGTTAGTGAAAAAATTCAAATCGCTTTCAGACTAATTACTGTCTTGTTTTGCGTATAAAAATAAACAAAAAAATAAGTAAAAGAAAAAAGAAATGTAGGGGAAAAAAGGGGAGAATAAAAAAAAAAAAGTGGCGTCTCTTCTGCACGATGGCAAATCGGCAACATCTAATTTTTCATCGTTAGGACCGATAAGAAAAGTGGGCTGTTTCAGCTTCTTCCCCTTTCCGAGATAAACGTGGTCCATCTGTCACGGTCGCCATCTTGAATTCGTCACCCCGACGTAATTTTTTTTTTATTCGTTTTTTTCCCCCACACACAAACTCTGCTACTCTTTACCACATTGTCGAATTAGAGGAAACATTTCCCACAACAAACCATCCTCCGAAACGATAAAAATATTCATAAATCTAAATGAAACGATTTCGATTCTCCATCCTCCTTTCCTTTCTTAATCTTCTTATTATTTAAATTAGGATAATTTAACTAAAACTGGTTTGTTTTTAATTGGGGAAAAGTTGGTGAAAATCTTCACTAGTGCTAATCGGATTAAGGGTGCAAATCTGCTTTCCAAACCGTGACAGTTTAGTGGGAGGGAGTGACGAACCGTCCCACTCTGCACTCATTTTTTTTCTTTATTTTTTTATATTTTAGAATCAAATTTACTCACCAATTGATTCTGATAAGCAGTCACGGCCGTGAATACTGTTTCAGGAAAGATGTACGTACGAAAAAATTCAGTTTCCAGATCATTAATAACGGGACATTGATTAGAATCATTCTTCAATTGAACCAGATGAATCCTCGGTTGATATTTATGCATGGAGTTAAGAACAATCTGTAAATTATAAATAATGAATTAAAGATTTTTTTTTCTCTAAAATGTTCGTTAGATATATTCATATTCATATGTTTATTCGCTGTTTAAAGATGTGATTTACGATGCAACTATTGTGCTACGAAAGAATTCTAAATGTTTGCTAAACATGCAATCAGACCTCAGTTTTAGATGAACATTTATAGAGAATCTGTCATGCAGGCCGTGACTAATAAAACTAAAAATTGAACGACATCAATTCTGCAGCGGAAAACGTAACCTGGCTTGCCATCGATTTTTTTTATATTTTTAAAAAAAACAATAATAAATAAATAATGTAAAATAAGGGGGAAGAAGAAGCTTAATGATTGGTAATGTTTCAAATAGGTTACGCTTCTATTTTTCTCAATTATTTTGCTACCGAAAATTTCTTACACAGTAACACTAAAGTAGGATATCTCAAGCTTTAAAATCTAAGCTTTTTCCCTTAGAATTTAGGGAATTATTCGTATTTATCTAAGAGAAATTAGAGAAAAATCATTTTAAGCTTTTCAGTTGTAAGGCAGTAATCTTTAGACTTAGATGCGATACTTTTTTGGGGGGAAATTTTACGTAAAAATTGAGGAAATTTGTTTTAGAAGTTGGATAAATTATTCTGATTATCATAATTTATAAAATTTATTTTCTATCGTTCAGAGCTTGTATAATTTTAGAAGAAACTTTATACATTAAAGAATTAAAGCAGATAGCCTACAGTTTATATTGAGTATAAAAATCCGGATTTTTCCCTAAAAAAGTTAGGAAATTATTCGAATTAATCCGAGAGAAATTGGGGAAAGTGATGTTGTATGAAATTTTAAAATAATTTAATTTAGATGCGGTACTCATTTTAAATATTTGATAAAGAAATTAAAGAAACATAAATAATTTTAGAAGAGATATTAAAGAATGAAGAAAGCCTTTTTACACTTTTAACCGATTTTATAAATTCGAATTTTTCCCTGAAAATTAGGGAATTATTTGTATTAATTTAAGGAAATTTAGGAAAAAGTTTTTCAAATTAAAAATCTTAATAAAATTTTTAATAAATTTGTTTTAAATGTTAGATGCGCGCTTCTTGATAATCATGATTTAAAACATTGATTTTGTAAAGGTTTTTATCATTTAAAATTCATGAATAATTTCATGAAATTTACACCTTATTTTAATTTTATATGATATTAATATTTTAAAAGATAAATCTATAGAAATTTTATTAAAAAATTCTGATAAATTTGATGTGAAAATGCGCATTATACTCCGATAAACCGATAACCGAATTAATACCAATTTTAATTATAAACGAAGAAAAATTAAATTAAAAAATATTTATAAAACGATCTTAAATGACTTCAAAAACAAATTTTAAGAAGACAAATTATAAAATTTTTTTATAAATATTAAGGGGGGAAAAAAACAACTTATTCGAGTGTAAGTAATGCCAAAACTCGCATAATTTAAATTAATGAATAAATTGATTAATAACATTTCAGCGCTGAAAAATCTAAAGAAAATGTAATTATATATAATTTTAATCACTCAAATTTCTCTATTTTTAATTTATATACGTATATATTTCTATATTAATATATATATTTTTGTTGTTTATATTTTTTGCTTTAATTTCTCTTTCCATACATCACCATTATGGCTCGGTGTATGTCAGTTTTATTTTTACCGATCTAGCCTGCGAAGACAGCAATAACAAGTTGTTAGATTTCTCAACACATTCGCCTTCCTAACCAGATTAAAGCTGCCGAAGCAACAGAAATGTGATGACGTTAATGAAAGAGTTGCAGGCGTGCCAACAGTCTTATTAAGTTGCTAAGTATTCTTGCTTCTTTTCACTAAAAGCTAAACTTGGCTTGGATGCAATATGCTAATTGAATATTTTTCTGAATTGCTATACGAATGCTTTTAAAAACAGAAAAATTTTTAGATTTTTCTTTCCTTTTTTTTTAAAAAGAAAGTTGATTTTAATCTCAAGAAGTTTCAAGATAATTTTAATATATTAATCGCGCTTTCAGAGTAGAAATGGTGAAAATTTGTTATAAAAAGTGGATTTTTTAATGAAAAAGTTTAAATTATGTTATAAATAATTTGTTTTTAAGTAGTTTTTATAGGTTAAATTTGATTAAATTAGTTATTTTTACGGATAAATGTGACTAGAAGCACTTTTAATCAAGTAAATGAAGAAGCGCAAAATTTTATATAAAATTTATAATGAAAGAGTGATTTAAATTAAAGTTTCTTATGTTAATTAGTAAAAATATTTGTTTTATTAATTGTATCAGTGTACTGTACAGTGCTTTTATTATTTTGGAGGGGATGAAGCGTTAGGTTTGTGACTGGAAGGGTCTCACTCTAATTTCTCTTAGATCCTATTCGTATGAAATTGTATATTTTTATAATGAAAAGTCTAATAAAATTTTAACTTATATAGGCCTATATTTTACTTTTTAAAATAATTTTAAAATTGTTTTAGATTTATAAAAATAAAAAAACACGCGATAAAAAGTATTTTTCGAAGCACACACTTTTAATAAAAATATTATCAAAAATACCGTAAAAAAATAAAAAATTCAAATATAATGATGTTAAAAAAGCAAATTTTTAAAATATTTTTTATGTTTTCAAAAATTTAAGATAAAATTAGAACATATTTACAGATTAAAACTCTTATTTTTTGTATTAAAAAAACACTTTAAATTAGTTATATTATCATTAAAAATATGCAGTTTTTAGATAGAAAATAAAAAGAAAAATGATTTAAAAAGAAAGATATTGTTTCAGAATTGCAAAAATATTTTCAAATTATTAAACTCGAGAACGTAAAGTATAATACAAAAATGCATTTTTAGTTATAAGCGCAATGCTAAAGAAAGCATTTTCTTTCCTCGTAATATATATGAAATCTTGTAAAAAGCTTACAGAGAACAACAATAAGTTTAAAAGTATACACATGGGAACTTTCTTAGAATTCTCAATAAGTTTTTCACTTATAAAAAATAATAAATGATGCATAAAGGACTTTTATAATAAAAGATGAAGAGAAATTTGCCATATAAGTAACATCCCTTGATAATAAACACGCCATTTTAACTAGAAAAGCATATGAATTTGAAAATTATAAATATCACTTACGTGTCCTTGTTTATCCATTTCGTTATTGGTAAGTTTAACTTTTTCGAAAGACACCACTTGCTTCTTTAGCTGGTCCCCTGTGAAAGGTGAATCGGGATGGACGTAGAGACGAGGTGGAGAAGGTGGATCAGCTTTACCAGCTACGAGCCACGCTGATCGGTGATAAGCGTAACGATACCTCTTATTATCTACAGGAACTATATCCAGTAACACTGCATACTTTAATTTAGGATCCGTACCGGTGAATGAAATTCGTAACGTCGGAAACATCCTCCTGGAGCAAGAAGATGAAGGATTAGGATAAAAGGAGAAGAAGATTTAAACAAAAAACAAATTGATTCTGTTACTAGTGTGAAGATTACTCCTTCCCACGCCATACCTTTTTAATGTGCTTTTGTTATACATGAGGAAGATGTATAAAAAAAATAAAGAAAAAAAATAAATAAACTGTAGAAACAATGGAACGTTAAAGACATCACATAAATCACTACAAAGCAGATGGAGAAAAACCGGCAGATGGTATCATCAATGAAGATTCAACTTGATATTCTCACGTCTTAAATCCTAACCAAAAGACGTATCAACTAGTTAAAGAGCGTATATTAGATTTTAAGTCTACCTTTTCACACCTTTTCTCCTAAATCTTTTGCCCGTTATAAGCTAAAATATGTAAATAATAAAGTAGTAAGACACTTACGAGTATAGTAAACAGGCTATTTCGCTTACTAAACCCTCGTCTTAAAATTACAGAGCAGTTTTCAGGGTCTTTTATAGTTGATTCGTGTAAGTTTAGTGGCTTCAACGTAGCTAATTCTTCAATTTAACCATAACCAACCGACATATTTCGGCTGTTTGTGCTATGTCATCCGAGAATAATGGATTACTTAAATATGTAAGAGAATAAATATCCAAAATGTAGCTATTTTTAATCACTGTTAATCTTCTTAATGAAAATTAATACCTTATCTTGGAATTAATGTTATCCTATGAGAAAATAAAGAAATTCGTCCAACCAGTTTAACTTTACCGATAGTAAAAAATCATTAAAATCTAAAGAATTTATTAAATTTCATAAATATTAAAATATTTAACGGGATTTAGTGAAATTTAATTTAAAAAATTATATAAAATATAATTAGAATGAATTAAAAACGGATCCGCCAGGCTCTAAATTATGGCAATTTTTTGTGTTTTTAGTGAAATTAATAAAAAAATTTCGTAAAAATTAATATTTTTACTAAATTGCATAAATATATTTTAATATTTTAAGCATAAAAATGCAGTTTAATAAACCTTATAAAGTTTTCTTGAATTATTTTCTCGTAGAAGCACATTTTTGTAAGGAAAAAAAATTGCATTAAAATTCATAGATTTTAAACATAATAATTAATTTAACAAATTAAAATTAAATTAAATAATTAAATGTTCTTAATTATCTTTAAAATTTCCCGTTGAAAAACAGCTTTTTCTTCCCTCCCCTGTTTAAAATTGCGATTTTTATTGAAATAAAATGATAATTAATTATCATTTTATTTCAATAAAAAATACAATTAATTAATTATAAACAATTAAAAATTTTAATTATTTTTTATATCTATAGTATATTATTTCAAAAGAAATTTGCTTAAAATATATAATTATAACCTTATAAATTTAATATTTATCTTAATTTATTAAAAATATCTATCTTAATTAAATCAATAAACTCGTTTAATATGATTTTTAAAAATTTCGTGAAGATGAAACGAAATTTTAATTAATTTTTAAATATTTTTAAACTAATTATTAATTTATATGTAATTTTAAGCTTAAAAATTTTATATTTAAGTAAATTTATTAGTTATTTAGGCAGCGGGTAATATAAAATGCTCATAAATATGTTTGGCAATGTAAAAAAAAATCATAAATTTGAGTGAATATAATAACAGATTTAAGCTGAATGCGTGATAGTTTACACGAAATTTTATTTACGTTAATTTATTTTAACGAATTTATTGCAATAAATGCTTATAAATTGTATTTACCAGCCAATTTTTAATGCGAACGAAACTTGTATACAACTCCACAAAACAAAGGTTTTTAATTATGTTTAAACTTGTATAAAATATTCCTTAATATATAAAAACTTAAGCCGCTAAAAACATTAAAAGAAAAGTTAAAATGAAAATAAATTCGTTAAATATATTTTTTAAATAAATAAATAATTTAAAAAAAAAAAAAAAAATCGAAACGCCGACGATTGTTACTCAATAGAAGAGAAAAATGGGCGTTTCTTAAAGCCACACCTATTTCGAATCAACCAAACAAACGTCCGTAACGATAAACGTCACACAAATGCAGTGGCACGCGAGTCCGTGCGCACGTGACTGATTATTCTATGCTGATTGGTGGAGTTTTTTTTAATTTTTTTTTCTTTTTTTAATGATTGGCGTTCTAATTTATTACCGTGTTTTACTTTCTTTGTTCGGATTTTGAATCGTTAGTGTTATGTTTAATAATTAAAATTTTAGATTAATAACGACATTTAGTACGAAATTTAGAATATTGTTAATTAGACTTAATTAAATATATATATTTTAAAATATATTTATTGGAGTTTTAATGAAGATTTTGTGCCTATGTGTACAATGCGCGTACAGCATCGTAGCGTGTAACATTTATGAAGATAAAATACAATTTTTTAATTATTTTACATCGCTGGAAGTTTAGAATTAATAAAGTAGCTTAAAAAAACAAAAAAAAACTAATTTAAATATTTTTGTTTTTGTACTACTTTAATTAATATAATTCTAAGGGGGAAAAAAAGCTTGTAAATTTAAAGATGTACAAAAAAAAACAAGTGAAGATTTCAAACGTAAAGCGTGTTAAATGACGTTAAAGTAAGGAAAATTAATTAAAATCATTATAAATTTAGATGAATTAATTAAAAATTTTTCTTAAATATACGAGATTTTTTTTTCTTTTCTTTTCTTATGTGTTTGAATAAAGTTTTCTCCATCAAGGCAACTTATCTAATAGGGAATACAGCTAATACAAATTAGTAAAGCAAACACATATACCAGACAAGGCAGTAACCAAGTTAAAGCTATTAAAATCTTGATAATGTATGTCTCTTCTGACAACAGATGAAACACCTAATAGGCAAAGGCAGCTTTAGCCCGTCTATGTTTATTAGGCCGCAGCCAAGTGACATGGAAGTCAGAAATGTTACTAGCGATCAGCAACTTTGCCTTTTACCCCGTTGAATTAACATTATTGCCAGTCACATATCTGCCCTCGTTAAGATGTGAAACAGCACAGACAGTTTTCATTAGAGCAATCCAGATAGGGAAGGAATATAGCAATTTAGGAGGGTTGAGATTTAATGCCTTTGCATCTCTCTCTCTCTCTCTCTCTCTTCTCTCTCTCTCTCTCTCTTTGCTAGATAAGCCAAATGATATTTGTGTTTTGGATGGAAGTGCGTGTGAATGAGTTTGCCATATTGTATTTTCTTTACTGTTGTCGTTAACTGTCTGCTGCAATTATATAAGTAAAATTTTAAGTGGCCTGTATGATTTTATTAAGAAAACATCGTATTTTATGATTTTATAATTAAAATTAAGAATGAATATTATATGGAAAATAGCGTAATATCCATTAATGTGGCAAAAGTGCCAAGCTATTATTATTGTTGTTATTATTATTATTATTATATTTTTTTCGGTATGTCTTGTTAAGCCGTTTTAGTTAAAGTGAGTAATTAATTTATTAATTAAAGCTACTGATGCATAATTAGTTACTTTTAGCTTAATTAAATTCGGATTTTTTGAACATTTCTAGTTTAAAAAGTGCGATGACGTTTCTCCTGTCGTTGAGATCGTATTAGAATTTAAATTATGCTAATTTAAATTGAGTGAACGTTAAATCACCTATATTAATAGATATTTTTATAAAATTATCGTTGCTTTTTTTAGAATTTATATCATTTTTAACTCCCTGTAAATGTTAACGGATATTTTCCGGATCGAAGATAATTATTTTTAACATTTATTTTATATAAAATAGCAAAATAATATATTTATATACGTACAGTTATGTAATTTTTATTGAAATTTATTATAATAAAATAAAAAATAATTAAATCTATATTAGTAAAATTATAAAGTCGGCTTCTCTGTTATATTGGAAAACATTACGGAGAAGCATCCTTTTCAGGGTTTATACAAATATATTATAATACTAATAATAATAATTCGCTAATATTACTGCTAAATATATATATGTAGAAACATTATTATTATTAGTTAGTTTATTTAATTATTTAAAGTTATATTAATTAGTTAATTAAAATTATAATAATTATTAATTTATAAATATTGACTAAAACCTTTCTAATGTAGCAGAACTCCTCATCCACCGCATCTCCATTAACATCCCATATACCACAATTATANAGTTTCGAGTTGTCCGTCTATCCGATTCAATTCATCACAGTTACATCTACTTAACAACATCGGATTAATTTTAGCTTTTTCTTTAGTTTTCGTTTCTTCATCTTGATCGTTGCTCGAAAGATTTCTTCCACTCGTCTCCTCGTCTTCACAATCTTTATGATTATCTTCCGGCACGTCATTAACCACAGTTAATTGTGTATCTGAAAAATATACCAAAAAAAATATTCCCTTCTGAATACGATTTTAATAAAATAAAGTTAATTTAAACGCCGGAAAATCGAGAAAAGAAGCCACTTGTGAAGACGGTTTAGTCACGCTGTGACGCTTGTAATCTAAGTTTGATGGTTATAACATAATTTATACCGTATATATATTATTAAAAATATAAAAAATATATGTATAATAAATCACAATTAATTAAATACTAATTCGCTAATATTACTGCTAAATATATATATGTAGAAACATTATTATTATTAGTTAGTTTATTTAATTATTTAAAGTTATATTAATTAGTTAATTAAAATTATAATAATTATTAATTTATAAATATTGACTAAAACCTTTCTAATGTAGCAGAACTCCTCATCCACCGCATCTCCATTAACATCCCATATACCACAATTATATTAGGTATAAGGGAGATTACACGGATGGTCTGGTGGAAATAGAATTAAATAATCGTTTATTATGTCTGAGTTGACGTAAAAAGTTGCTTTCACTCAGTAAATAATGATTCTAATGGATTTCTTCGCCTCCATGATGAATTATCGATTGAATAAAATCCAAAATGGTCTGTGGATGCTTTTAAAACTTACAATTATCTATTTACAATCTCTAACTCATAGAATATGATAAAATAAAGCTTAAAATCTAATAAAACAAAAGATTTTATTGTTATTTCTCTTAGTTTTCTTATTAAGTATATTAAAAGAATTAGGAAGAATCTATATAAACATCACCGTGTTTACAAGAATTATATGCTGACGTTGGATAATAAAAAAGTGCTTTTTCTACTAATAAATATTCTACAAGTTGTCGGGTGGCAGTTAGAGTGTTGCTCGTAAATCAGTTAGGCCCATGTGTGCATATATTAGTCATTAATCACAAAACTCTCTGCAGTCATTAACCCACGGATGACATCCCACTACCATTTTGGGATTTTACTCCCAAGTGAAGCAAAGCCTTCATTCGTTATCCGGCGATGATCTGTGAATTGGTGTGAGATGTCATAGCTAGATCCACAGATGATCTCTTCTGCTTAAATTTGTTAATAATACGTTCCTTCTCCATAATGGAAAAAGCAATGATAGATGAAAGTACTTTAAAAAGTATATAAGTAACCATCTTTTATTATAGTAAACAAAATTACAACACAGAATTTTTCCAGTTAATTTTAAGGTTGCGGCAGGAAGCTTAGATTAGTTTGTTATACTTTAATATTTATGCGTACTCCCGTAAAATTGTAGTGATAAAGCATAGCAGGAATTATTTATTAAGAATTTAAAGTAGGAAAATATATCAACCTTTATAATATTCACCGCAGTGTTATTTTTTTCTCCCTTTACATAACTGGTTTAAATGGAAATTCTGATATTGATTCTGAAGCGTGTATCTTCCATATGAAACAAAATCTCCTGGACACTGTTGTCCTTACTCTGACAGATTTATCCAAGCAATAGGTCTAGGTACTAGCCCTATATAAATCGATGCTTGCATCATATACATTCACTACATTTTTCAGAGTTGACGAAGACTTGACGTCTCTAACCGATTTTCTTTCGCTTATCTGAAAACCTTGCGTGTCCTTTGCAAAAATGTATATTTTCTCAGAAAAACTTGTAACTTTAGATATGATGTTGAAACCTATACGGTGTATACACCTCCACAGTTTTAAATTTTTTTTTTTTTAAATAATAATAATTATTATTATATAGTTTCTAAATTAATTTGCAGATTTTTTTCTATTATTTTTAAGCACGGAATTAACGTAAATATAAATTTACTTATTATAATAAACTATAAACTATTAAATAAAATAAGGTTAAGATAAATTATTAAAAGATTTGGATCAAAAATTTTGGATAATTTTTAGCAATTAAGTTAAAAGTTGTCAAAACGTTAAGCGCATTATCTACCGTAATTTGAACTCAAATTATTTAAATATTAGTTAAAACAACGGTAGATTTGATGTATTTTTAAACCAAATTAGTTGGAAAGAATAAAATATTTAGTAATAAATAAAATTAACTTAAAGAAGTTAACTTACCTTCCAGTTTTAGTGATGATCATCTCAGTTCCCAGATTATGAAACTTTTCCCAAAGATCTTTAGTTTCGAGTTGTCCGTCTATCCGATTCAATTCATCACAGTTACATCTACTTAACAACATCGGATTAATTTTAGCTTTTTCTTTAGTTTTCGTTTCTTCATCTTGATCGTTGCTCGAAAGATTTCTTCCACTCGTCTCCTCGTCTTCACAATCTTTATGATTATCTTCCGGCACGTCATTAACCACAGTTAATTGTGTATCTGAAAAATATACCAAAAAAAATATTCCCTTCTGAATACGATTTTAATAAAATAAAGTTAATTTAAACGCCGGAAAATCGAGAAAAGAAGCCACTTGTGAAGACGGTTTAGTCACGCTGTGACGCTTGTAATCTAAGTTTGATGGTTATAACATAATTTATACCGTATATATATTATTAAAAATATAAAAAATATATGTATAATAAATCACAATTAATTAATACCTAGTTAATGAGTTGATTTTTAACTTAATTTAAGCTAGAATAACAATAGAAAAAGCTTTGTTCTCGTCTAATTATCGCTATGTTATCGCCGTGTACTCGTTACTACAATACATTTGTTGGTCTTGGATATTTATTCACCTCGTTAATTACGATAGATTCGAGATATTATCGCTGATCCATGCATCAATATTGCTGAACCGTTTCATTCATATCCAAAGGTTACATTTGTGACGTGTTCTGCATATTAAAATGCCAAAAAATTCAGGGGAAAAAACACTGTTGCTAAACTTGAATTAGATGTATCTTTAATTATGTTTATTATTATTATTTATTTATTTGAACTCAAATTATTAAAGAGGTGATGTAAAGTATGAAAGATGTTAGTTATTAAAAATAATATATGTTGTTTGAAAAAGCTCGTAAGCCAGTTATATACGAATTTATACAGAAGTCGAGTCTCTTTTTATCAACCGAACGATATTTTTAGTGAAAGTTTGACATAAAGTCGACACCAAAACGTGAATTTTAGTCATTCCGAGAAAATCCCCAGCCAAAGAAAGTAATAAGCGGAACATATCTGGAATTGTTTAAAATAAAACATAACACACGCCCGATTTACTTAGAAAACTTGGTATTTTTCACGGAAAAAAAAGTAATTTATTTACCAAAACGCCATTTTTTTGGTATTTTTTTACTAGAAAAACCGACCTTCTATCCGTTACTGTTAACCTATCTGCCTTTAAATATTAGGCTCATCCATTCCGTAAAGTTTTATCTGGATGGAGATAGGAAGTGGAACGTTTAACCAGTTCGAAACGAGATTACTTCGGATGATGTTGTACAAACAGAGATGTCTGCGCTATGTAGCAGTAAACAAGCCTTCACTAAACGACTACAGGAACAATCTGTCAACCACTGCTAACTGGATCGATTGTGCTTCTATCTCAGCAGCAGAAAATGTGCTTGTCTCCGCAGCTTTACTGGAAAATATCTTCTTCACCAGAATCATCTATCCTCGTCAGTCTTCCTGCGATTAAACTTTTGCTATAATAGAAGACAACCTCAATCAAATTATCTAAGTTTCGTTTAACCATATCGATTAATTCGTTATTAATTATTAAAATATTTTCTACTTGTCTTACTTCCAAGTAGCCAGGCCTTTTTTTTTTATTGCTCTTTCTGCAGTTGAAACTTTTTCGTTGTTTACTTCTTAAAGCCACTCGTTTCAACCGGTTTAATATATTTTTTACTATATGTTAAGGTTAAAAAGCTTTAATATATGATATAATATGCTTTATAACATAACAAATAACAGTAAAACTTCATAAATGTATGCAGTAATAAATATTAAAATGTTTTTAAGAATGTGTAGGATTAAGCAATTTTAGCGGTCCTCCTTGCGTATAATTGAATAACTTTTGCATACTTTTATGATTTTTATACGGATTAAAGTTAAAATTAATGTTAAATCGATAAAAATTGTTTGTAAAGTAAGTGTATGATGCGTCGAAACGTGTAGTATTTTATTATTGGTATGGTTGCGTGGTACCGAAGAGACAACGATTTGTTTATTTGCAACGTTGTAACAGGATCTTATGTCATAACAAATGTTGTGTAATATGAATTGATATAACAGTATACGTAACATATTTGATCAACAATGTTTCCTTCGATTTTCCACTGACAAGGTTCGATACGTACTCTATAATAATGCTTGTTTATATAAGAATAGTTTTAAAATATATATTTATAAATATTTATCCAAAAGAGAGAGAAGGAAATTATTCGCGAGTTTCTACTATTAAACGATTATATAAGCCATAGAAACTAAACTTTATGGATATAAATCGGAATGTTAGCTATATAAATGATGTTATCATCGCTAGAAACCTATAAAGAATCTTATAATCCATAAAGAAATTAATAATAAACATAAAAAATCATCTTGAAATCTAATAACCAGCACTAACCAAGACGATCACTTGTATAAAAACCTTGTTTTAATAGAAAAATTTTGATTATTTTATGTTATAAAATGATTTTTAAGTAGTTAATTAAGTTAATTTTTATTATTTAATTATTATAAATAAAAACACGATTAAATAAGAAAAGGAATAAAACGATATCTCCTTACGTAATCTTGAATATATAAGTTATAACGATGCGTGACTATCATCACTTAAAAAAACCCAATCATCAGTATCAGAATCCGATAACTAATATAAAAATCTAATCAGTAGCATAAAATTTCGATTATAGACGTTAAAAAATTCATCAGTATTATCGAAATAAATTCCTCGTTAATCCGTTTTTGTTAATGGATGCTTTAGAATTTTAGCATCTATTAAACGAAAAAATATATAAAAAAAACATTCTAGCATTATTAAAGTATCGATCGATATCATTTACTATACTAAATTAAGCATTGATCATTAACAAACAAGCATGAAAAATTTATAAATTAACTCCCTATTAACATTATATCAGAGGTGTATAGCGAGAAATCATTTGTAAATGTATAGAAGAAAAAAAAATGTATTCCACATCATTTATCATCACTTAAAGAATTGTTTGCCTACTGTAAATCTTTAATATTAAGCTTGTTCATTATTATTATAATGTAGCTCATTACAATTCCTAAGAGAGTATTCACTAGAGCTTCATCTATTTGTTACTGTTAACTAAAGATAGCCTCACTCGTAACCGGAATACTTAAAAAAAAAAAAATTAAAATAAAAAATATAGAAGCGATTTTAATAAATATAATATACTTTATAGCATAAATTCATATATTAAAAATTAATATCCTATATCAGATATAACATAATTGCTCAATTTAAAAAATTATTCAAGGTCAAGATAGTAAAGGGCCTAATAAAACCAGCTTAAAGCATAACAAATTCACTGTAATTATGCAATTTACTGAGCAAAGATCATAAGAATAACCGAAAATTGATGGCCAAATTTTATAGATTTTGTAGTTTATTGGCCGTGATATCAAATAAGGAAGGAGTTTAAATGCGCTCATTTAGACTTATTATTCATCGAGCGTGACACAAAATCTGCATATTATTGAGGAATAATAAATTTTTAAAAGTGTAAGGCATATTAAGATAGATTAATAACTTCCTGGAATTCAATTATTCTTCATAATTTTATAATAAAGTAGCATCTTCTCTTGTTTATCTTATTATATTATATACACAGGTTAAAGTTTGTTCTTGTAGCTAAATAAAGAAATAAATATGGTTATTTTTTCAAGCGAAACGATATTGTAAGGTAATCAACCTTATTCGCATGCCAAATATTTGTTAATGTTACCGTACTGTACAGTACATATTTATGCTATGAGGATATAAGAATGCATCAAAATATAGGCCTATTTAGTAGTATTTTGATATTCTGAGCCAGTGTTAAAATTAATTAACGATTACAGTCGAATTTAGATTACATCCTACGAAGTTTAAAGTCTAAATTTTGTTGTATAAATCATACAGAAGCGATTCGAATCCCTTGATAAGTACCGAATCTATTTCCTTGTGGTCAAAGTATGGATTAAAGCTATGCCCACTCCACGTCTAAAGTTTACATTTCGGTGTAGTTTGCTTGTTATAAAATCGGTTCTGAGCTTAAAAAACTAAATCTTAGTAGTAAAAAAACGATTTTGAAGTCGCTTCGAATCTTTTAAATACGAATACTTTTAGTTAATTTAAGTAGAAAAATTAGACTAAAGGCTTTACTTTAAAGTAATTTTTAAAACAAAGATTAACTAAAATTTAACCGAAATTATAACATTTATCAAGTATTTGAAAGGCCTGAACGTAATGTATATTTTCTAATCACTTTATAGCCGAGAACTATATGATATATAGGCCTACGACTACATAATTAATATGTTGCCATATAGGCCTATATCTACAGCACATCCATCTCGAGCGCTACTTGGTTTGTTTAAAGATTTATGCAATGCGTGTGTCACGCACTGTTGATTATTGTCACGTGACGGGGCGACGTGACGTCGATATATACTCTGTCACCCTGTTCTTGAAATATTACCCCTTGTCTTACATGACCTTTCTGTTTACGCTCAAAGGAGTAGAAAAGATGCTGTTGTCTCCGAAGCTATCTACACGCTCGAACGGTCCGCGATTTCGGGAAGAAACAAACAAATAAATAAATAAATAATAACGATAAAGTTTGTGACTTTTAGTTTGGGTAAACAATAAAAGGAAAGGCATCAAAGTGTAAAAAGGAAAAAATAAAAAAAAAATAAAAATAAGAGAGATAAAATATAAATACTAAGAGCAAGCAACGAACAAATGATGAGTATGCTCTAAATCGTATTTAAAGAATACTTTCCCACGTCAAAGTTGACAAGTTGTCGTTTCGTCTTACCTTAGAGGAAAGTTACAGTTGACAGATATCTTATAACTACTTAAAGACCGATAGGAAAACAATAGATCTACTGTATAAATCTACTAATGATACTAGACTTAAACAGTTGTAAAGAGTCGTTAAGGATGTCGTCTACTAACAAGAAACATTAAAGATGATGATGATTTTTCAATAGAAATTCCTATATAGTTTATTCGTTATACAAGAATTCTCTTCTATTTTTGTATTTTTTGTAGTTATTTATCATTTTTAAGTGAGAAAAAAAATATATAAAAGTCACGAACACGAAGGGAATTTATCCATCAGTAGTTTTACTAGCGTTGAACAATTTAATCTTTTATTTTATTTTATTTTTATCAAATTCGACAATATATTTTATACGAGACAATTGTCACTTTAACTATGTTTCAATGTATTTACAGTCGAACTTTAAAAAATTTCTTTAAAATGTAACAAACGAATGATATAAGTTATAACGATGCGTGACTATCATCACTTAAAAAAACCCAATCATCAGTATCAGAATCCGATAACTAATATAAAAATCTAATCAGTAGCATAAAATTTCGATTATAGACGTTAAAAAATTCATCAGTATTATCGAAATAAATTCCTCGTTAATCCGTTTTTGTTAATGGATGCTTTAGAATNTATACAGCTTATTAATTATATTGTTATTTTTTTAAATTAAACAATTTTACGTGAAGATATTCATCATTGTTTTTAACATTATGAATGAAGTAATTTAACAATATATGTATATATATTTTTTTTTACTAGAAATGCGCATCTTTAACCTCTGTTGTAGATATTTAAAAAACGTTTGTTAAAAATGCAAAACTTCTACTTTAAAAAAAAATTAAGCTTTTAATTATATAATCATTGTTTTTTCCACTACAGAAATTGAATTAAAAAGAGCGATGAGCAACCTTTAAGTTAATCAGCATTTCATTATCGGCGCTTGACTAACAAAGTCTAACCAAAATAATTAAAATCAATTAAGAAAAATATGAATAAATGATACATTTACTGAAGGAGAACCTCGTAAAAACTTAACCTTTAATATTTAAAATAGAAAAATTCTTTTTTTCTTTTTTCCTTTTAACTGAAAATTATCGCATTGCTTTCATATTCACCATTATATTTATCATTCATATCACACATTAAAACACTTGTAAAAAAAAAAGAAAATAATGTTAAGATTTATTGGTCAGTTCGTAAGATAAGAGAACTTAATTATATACATTTTAACATTTTAAGAAATGATTTTCTTGTATTTTAACTTGGTTAAAACGTATCTAGAAACGTTATGATATATTAAAGTTTGCTCTCTACTTGGACAAAATTCAGTGATAACGAATCGGAGATGGTGCAGAGTCTCACGTACACGTGTCTAGACAAATCTGCATCAGATTTAATTTATCACTTGCCTGGAGGATCCAACTATTCAGTTGTGTGGAGTGTTCGCTGTTGGAGTGCTTGTCATTTTTTTCATCTTGGCCTCTTTGATAAGTCTTCTGAAATTGCACCTATCTTAATTTATAACATTAATATATCTATAGAGACGTACTGGAAGTTGTTTAAAAAAAAGAAAAAAAAAATACACTACAACTTCTATAGAAGCATATTCAAAAACTTCTCTCTCTCTATAGAATTAAGTTAATTTTTTTTTATATATATAAGTTATATATAACATGTGATATCATTCAACATAATTTAATTCATTTTTTGTATCGAACTAATTTAATTTATACATTTTTTAAGGTTAATTAATAGCTAAATTTCTTATAAATTGAACCAACTTTTTAATGTTTAAATAATTGAGACTCTTAATTAATAATAATAACGCTATTTGGTTAAGTTGATAGTAATTAAAATCGATGCGAATTAACCTGTAAAAAAATGGTTTTAAACAGCCAAAAATTAGATAAAAATTAACAAAATTTACTTAAAAAGTTACTCCTAAGCTTAATAAATATTAATTTACAAGATTTTGCGTGGAGAGGGGCGAAAAAATATGAAAATTGTAACGTTATAACCTCAACCTTTGAGGAATTACAGTTAACACCTTACTCTCAACCGCTCGAATTATGGTTGAAATTATTAAATTATAAGAATTATATTCATAATAAATTATTTATAAACATCCCCCGAATTCATACTATCGAATATTATCATATAAACTTATATAACTAAGAAGGACTTTACGTAATAAGAACGACTATCGACTACATAAAACCTTGAGGTCTATTAATCTATAATCATTGTCTGTAACGCTTTATTAAACGCCGTTTAAACCGTATATTAAACAAATAATATCAGATAATGTTAACGACATTGGATCAATAAACTATTTTTTCTTTTTAATACCCACGTGCCATTAATTAAGTATAGAACGGTGACTAATAATATTCATAAATAATAAACGACGTAAGTTAAGCTACTTATCGATAACTTCTGCGTGTTTAAGGTAGATTTACGGATTTATATTATTTTTTAAAGCGAATTTTTTACTTTAAAATGAGTCATTTTTTTAACTTTTAAGAGATTAAATATAAACTTTTTAAGTTGCGCTTTATATAAATATTTTATTCATTTTTTTAAATAATTATTCTTCTTACTTTTAAATGTTTATTTTGAAATTTTAAATCCAAATTTTACTATAAAAAATCTCAATTTTTATTCCTGATTTTTTTTTTAGTTATTTGCAGGGGGTGGGAAGTCTTATAATTATTGTAATATATATATATACATATAATATAAACGTAATTAAATGAAAATTAATTGTAATAAAAATGAAAGTCGTTAATTGCGAAAGTTTTTATCTCGGTGAGGATGTTTAATTAAAGAGTAATTAAGTTACTTACCGGTGGGACTACAGGGCTCGATCATCAAGGGACTGTCCCGATCGGAGACAGTATCGCTACTGTCTTCGCTATTGGGATGAGAAGTTGCCATCAGGGCATCGATGGAGAAATCTTTAGCACGAGACGAAAGCGGTGCCGTAGGTCCGGCACTGAGTGTAGGACTGAATCCTGTGTCCATTGCCCGTAAATGAGTCTCTGTCACCACCATAGGTGTAAGTCTAATAGGTGTAAGTCCGAATCGACACTAGCAGTTACGGGTAAGAGTGTTTAACGGGTCCATGTTTGTCCGGGACATTGTGACCGCACCAAGTGTCGTCGTACTAAACTACTCCCCCCTTGGGAATAGGTCAGAGGAGGGGAGATTATCTGTTACAGAACGTGTGCCTCTCGCTAGTCCTCCAATAGGAACTCAGATTGGGATAACTGAAGCGGGAGGGACAAAAAATCTCTCACTTAGATGGCTGGCACCTATCAGCAGCTGGCGCCATCTACTACCCTTCCGCTAAGCGTGCAGAACACAGCACTCAGGTAAGTGACTGTCGCTCCTGTTATGGCCGAGCTGCACATGCTCCATGCCACAAGATACGAGGTGTGTGATTGGTTACTTGTCGCCTGTTGTCATCCTTTCAGGTAGAAGGCTATTGGTAGGAAATGATGATGATTCTTTTTTTAACTTTAGAAAATAAAAAAAAAATAAAAATCTAACCATATTCGTAATTACCGGTGGATGGTTCGATGTGGTTGGTGACATGTCCAAACTCTGGTTTCCCCCTTTTTTTCCTTGATTCATTTCTGTTTTGATTATTATTATTTTTTTTTAAATAATAATTCAACCTTAGTCGTAATTGTTAAGGTCATTAATATTCTCATAAGCACAAGGAAGTTTTTGGATTGTTTTTTTTTAATCGCTTCATCAATTACGATGACCTCTGCATTAGTAACTGTGATGTGTCTAGTTAAATTTATTATTATTATTATTATTTATTTATTTATTTTAATATCGAAAAATAAAACTTATTTGCGTGTTAGTTTATGCCTTAAGTTCTAGACACAGAATGTTATCTCTACATCTTTCTGGCTCAAAGTTTGATACGGTATAACAAACTTTGGAGCTTGAAGATGTCGCGATAATATTCACATCACTGGCAATTCGAGAATTACTTACACTCGAATATTAAATTTCTAGTCGTTTTTAATGTTTATATTCTCAGTTTACTCGACTTATTAATTATTTTATACAATTTTTCATCTATATTTAAGCTTAATTTGGCAGCAGAGAGAAAACTCTAAAAGTAACGCTCTTATATAATTCGAATGTAAAAATTGTTCGGAACTTAGCTCCAAATTGTGAAGTTTTGTGTGGTTGTGAATCTATTCTATAGCCCCGTATATTGAGTTTTCTGTTTGTGGATATTAATTACGTGTAAAAAAATCAAGTGGATGGTGATGCCATCTTGTGGAAAAATCTTATAAGATAGATTTTTAGTGAAGAGGATCCACTAACGGGCCTAAAATGTATGTAATCTTCAACGCTCTCTAAATGCAAAGATAGGATTTAACTTTCATTTTTAACGATTGGATTTTACATTAAACCGTTCAATTTCTCCAAATATAATTTCGGAAATTAAACTATATATATATTGTAGCTAATTGATGTACAGTACCACCGTAACATATAATCGTAGAATCGAGCTTGCATCGATGCCGTAACAAAAGTTAATTTTCGAGACGTCTGAAGAAAAGTGCACGTTCTAATACCCGGAAAGACGTCATCGACGATGAGAATTTTTAATGTAAAGGCATTTTATGTGAATGAGAAAATCTCGGATTTCGTTTTATTTTCGTAAAATAAGCTTTGGCCTAGAGCCAAATGACAAAACAGCGTCAACCGATTCTATTCATTAGCAATGTCTTAATTGAATTTATTTTATCTTTAGATTTTCAGTTAATTGTCAGCACTGATAATTATCTCGAGGGATTATTTTAGTTACCGATGACTTTCTTTTCTCTCGCTCTTCCATATTGCCACCATCATCTCTCTCTTTCTCGCTCCTCTCCTCCCTGTAAATTGGCTCTCGTAGATTAAAAAATGCACATGCTTCACTTTTAAAGTTATTTTAATTGATTCTACTTCTTTATTCTAAATTTTTAAGCTTTTTTTTCCCCTTCTAATATACTTTAATAACAAGTTACTAATTTATAACCTAAATTTATAATCAGTATAATTATCACTATTTGTGCTTTGTTTTAACATTAAATATTCTACTTTATTTTATTTATTATACTCGACTTAATCGTATTTTAATAATTTTATAAGCATCAAATTGTGAGAAACTTCAGTTCATCCTAATGCATCTCTAAAAATGGATTTCTAGAATAATAATATGAAGAAAAATAATCAATAATTAAATTAGTAAATTAATTAATTTGAATATTCTGAATGATTTTTTGTATGATGAAAGTTTTCTGCTTATATATTCTACCCATAAACCATTTAAGATGGAAGAGAGAGATGGAGGGATATTTATCCCTCCATCTCTCATCATGCAGATTGTACTGATTAAAATGATGCTGTAATATGTGATAAAGTATAAATTTTATATTTTTCTTTATGATTTTACTCAGAGAATTCTTAGATATTTATCTTTTTTTATAGTTCATAAAATTAATTTATGCTTCATTTAATTTTTTTTCACTTAATATTTGTTAGGAGGGTGCTTCAAATTTTCCTTATGTTTTATGTTTTATTTCATACTTTTTACCATTATTTTCTAAATTAATTAATGTCATAACCAATAAACTTCGAGAATTTTCGATGAAATAAGCGAGAATGAATTTTTAAAATATATTTTTGTATATCAAGGAAATAGAGAATTTAATCATGTGTGTAATTTTATTTCTAGCATTTAACTATTAAGTTTAACTACTATGGAGACTTTGTTACTAGAAAGAGACTAGTATACTAAGTTTCTATTGATTCCGCTGAAATTTATAACGACAATTTCATGTCTTTGGAAGGAACATTTTATGGATGAGGACGATCAATGCATGATATGTCTCTCCTTTGTTATGTGTGACATTGTTATCGTGATATAACACGCATATGTACACTACATTCCAATTCAAACTAAAGCTCGTAAATAACTAGTAAATCGAAAGAAAGAGCTCAACAAAGCACTATCATTGCTACAATAAAATACATTATGGAGAAACATTGTCTGTTCTTCAGATAAGTGCAAATTTCTACGCATATTTCATCTGGAAAATGGACTTTTCTAGCATCGAATTCTGCATCTAAAGTGCTACACATTTCTTATTCTAAACCATGCAAGAACTATCGATGTCAGACATAGCTGATACACAACCGAATCACCATTATAAAACTGTCTAAAGTCTATAACTGTACTAAGCATCGAAGATAATAACGATAAGAAAATCTACTTAATTTTTAATTTATTAACATGCCAATAATCTTTTATATAAGCAGATTATGTAAAATAAGATTTAAAAAAATAAAATCGAAAATTTATTCTTTGTTAACTAAGCATCCATTAGCCGTTACTGAATGGTCAGATCAAGCATACCAGGTAACAGAATAGAAAATTGCTTATAATGACTCTTAAGAAATTCAATAAAATTCCTAAATGATCAAAACACGTGAGTGAATTTCTTGATAATATCACCAGTTAGAAGTGTAGAAAGTAGACTTCTACAGATCTGATGAGCGCATAGTGAAAAAGGCAATTAAATGGGAGATCAGAGGGATGCCGCATCACGTCTTTACAACAATAAACTTCGAGTCATTAAAAAACCGCTTGGATTGAAAACGATCGTAAAAGAACAACCCAAGATCCAACACCTAAAAGGGAATTCGGTCAACGATGGCCCCCTGTCTCACTTAAAGCGTCTAATTTTACGATGTTGGGATTAAGCGGCCATACGTCATCGAATCTGCAGGTGGCGATCTTCATACCTCGGGCTAAGTCCAGCTAGAAACTGAGGTATCCAATTTGTCAGCACTATACAATATCCCGGTATGAGGCTACTCGACTCCTTACTAAAATAAAAAGAAACAAAAAGTAGAAACTATTCGGGCGTTAACGGGCCTCTCCACGCGATAATAGGCCCTAGTTAGAAGCTTTGTCTTCTAACTCTGTATATATATATATATAAAATTGGTGGCTTATTAGTTAACTAATCACGAATTCGAACATAAAGTGGTCGGAGAATACGACCTATCCTACATTTATGAACATTCTGATCGAGTTTCTATTCGGCTAATCTGCCATGTCGGAACCTGTGTAATGGCAGTAGGCGCCTAAAAGAGATAAGAGTCACAACCAGGCAAATGGTTTTTGATAAAGTTGACGGCTTGTCCCGAGGAGAGAAACAACCCAAGCACTCCTAGAAGTTATTAGAAGTAGAAATTAGTCAAGGTTATTCCCTGTAACCTTAATAGGCATGGACACGTGCTCGTATTTGAGGATCCATTAAGACCAATGGAAAACGATAAAATTTGGCTCACGTTCGTTTACAACAAATAGTCATATAAAACGCATTATATAATCTAAATCGTAAATAACCCTAGAAACGACTTTTTAAAACGATTTTTAATCTCTAAAAATGAATTAAATCGATTATTATTCAACTGGAAGGCCAAATTTTTACATTAAAATAACACAGTTTTCAAAGCTTAATCTGGACACTTACTTGAATTTATTAAATGAAACACGATATTAGGATTGTATTTCTATATTTCACTATCCAAAAACTTAGCTGTAAATTGCAAAAATACATATATTGGATCGTAAGGTAGGAAAGGAAAGACGTTAAACTTACCTCGCTTATGAAGTTTTGAGAATTTTGTGTGAAAGGAAGAAAGCAGGAAGCACAATAGGCGCGTGTCTTGCAGGTGGGCAAGAAAACAGGGAGGGAGCAAAGAGCGGGTCCAGGTGGACAGTCTATCTCGCCACCATCTCTACCATTCTGCTCCCCCCTTTTCCCGCTGGCTGAAGCATCTCTCCCACAGTCCGCCTTCTAATTGAATTTAAACGACCACTTGTCAGAGGAAATAATACATGTAATTTGTAAGTGGTTCGTGATTCATCACGTTAGCTGTGCTGGCGGTCTATGATCCGGTGTCAGAGCTAACACTAGCCAGACTTACCTACTGGGACTTGTAGTGGCACGTGGATAGACCAATACGTTGTAATGGTAATGAAATACTATAATCTACACTATGGAAAAACTCGACTCGAGAACGAATAAACAAAAGGTGTTTAAAACCGATGATGTTTACGTGATAGCCAATCAAAGCTAAATGGTATTACGTGACCCAATAATTACCCCAGTCGAGCAATGATTATGCCGGAGGTAAAACACCATTCCCATTAGTTCCTTCATCAACAGATCGTGAGGCCGGCAGCACGCGTGATTGAATAAGAAACTCTTATGTCGAGTTAGTAGCTTAATAGATATAAATTCCATTAGGCTACTACCCTCTTACAGCG